ACAGACTGGGATTGGGGAGGGATTTTGGATCAGGGCAGGGGTCTAGAGTGGGATCAGGTGGAATTGTAAAGTGGGGATGGAGCTGGATTCTGGAGCAGTATCAGAAGGGATGGATGGAGCAGGATTGGGGTGGGGTCAGGTAGGATTCTGGAGCAGCTCCCTCTCCCAAGGGGATCCAGCCAGGTCCATCCTGTGGAATGGGGACGGGGACAGGGTGACACTGTGACCCTCTCTCATCCTGGTAGTAATCACTACCTGAGGGATCCATGGGGCTGGATCCGGCCCCTTCCCTCTTCCTGGGAAAGCTGAGAGCTGCCAGCAGAGCTCATTCCACTGCTCCCACCCACCCCACAGCTCTTGGTAACAGATCCATTTCCCCTTTTCCATGTCCCAGTGTTTTAAAGCCAATAACCACAAATATTCACAATGCTTCAGTTCTGGTGTGAAATTATCCTGCTTGGGGCAATAAATTCTGCTTGGGGCAATGTCCTGGATTGTCAAGCAAATTGTATTCTATTTGCCATCTGTATGGCAGTTGTCTTCTGTTAAGTAGGCAGTTTTCCTTATCTCTTCCACAACTGGGGAGACATCCGTTGATAACAGGCTATTGAATGTCACTGCACAACTGATAAGAACGACAGCATCCCAGTGTGAGATGCTCAACCCAGGGGGGAGAGCCAAGCATTCCTACCTGGATATAATCTTGAGTTTCTGGAACACCAGCATGGCTTTCTCCACTGGATTTCCCAGAGGAAACAGCTGCTCTCTTCCCCTAGATCTTCAGAGGAAGACTACACTCTTCTACAGGATCCCTGCTCCAACAGAACCCACCTGACACTCTAGGAGGGCTGCAGCCACGACTCCAATTGGACTGCTACCAATACCCTGACCCCCAGGGTGTCAGGTTGTGTTCTGACTCTGTCAGTGTTGTTTTAGTTTACTGCATTGTTTATTTTATCCTTTTATTTTCTTCCCTACTAAAGAACTGTTATCCCTGCTCCCATATTTTTTGCCTGAGGGCCCCTTAATTTAAAATTTATAGCAATTTGGAAGGAGGGGGTTTACATTCTCCATTTCAGGGGAGGCTCCTGCCTTCCTTAGGAGACTCCTGTCTTTCCAAACCAAGACAGATTTTGGTGCTTAACGTGAGGCTCGAGGGCACAGAAATAAAAAGGAAATAACAGTTCTTGAGTAATCTAATTTTTGTACGCTGCTACAGAAACCTTGTTAAGCTGTCATCATGTGGTCCAGCTTACCTTGGTTTGGGTGGCATGTGGTTGTGGCTACATTTCTCCCATTTGCAGGCCCTTATCTAAACATGGGTCCTATAACCAAGGCTACTGTGGCTGTTATCCAGTTTGTTTTATGGGTGAATAAGGGGAGGAATTAATGGCTTTTTAACTTCCTCTGGAAAGCAGGCACATGGATTCACAGCTATCACACACTAACTGTATGTTTTTGGGGTTACTTTAATATTAGCACCTGCTGTGAGGAAATGACACCAGGGGAAATCTTCTCCCAACCCTTTAGCCATCTCTTTGGGTCTGCTCTACCACTTTTTGAAGGGTTCAGATCCACTCTAAATACTAATGATATCAAACAGTGGCTGGTGTTGCTGGAAGGCTTGTTCTGTTTAGCATTTAGAGATAAGAGAAGATTAACTTGGATAACCACCCTGACACCTACCCCAAAGACAAGGGATGCTGCCCCAGAGCCTGGCCCTGCCCCACAGCCCACCTCAGCTATAAACTACCCAGATTGGATGGGGGTTCTGGTGAAGGAGATAAACGAGGTGAGCCAAATGCTGAAGGAGCACATTTCCCAAGCTCGTGAGAAGCCCTCCCAGTGCCTCGAAGAGGGAGAGTCTAATAGTGCAGCAGTGGAACCCACAGATGTTACAACTGTCCAGGTTCCAGCTGAACTGCAAAGGCAGACACAGCCAGCAGCAGTTGCTCCTGTGGAAACAAGGAGATCTAAGATGAAAGCAGGGCACCCAGATAAGGGAGGGCCCTCACAACCCTCAGGAGACCCAGAGGTTGAGATCGTCACCGAGTCCCTGACGTATGAAAATCTCCAAAATCTGCACAAAGACATTGTATGATGGGGATATGAGACTTATACAACCTGGCTACTTTGGGTCTGGGACCTTATAAGTACAGGTGTGCAACTGGATGGTGGTGAGGCAAGAAATTTGGGACCCTCAACCCAGGACTCAGGTATCAATCAGATTTTTGTAAGGGAGCCAGGGTCCCTTTCCCTCTAGGAGCGGCTTTTAATGAGTGTCAGAGAGAGGTTTGTCCACAGGGAGAGCATGCAGGAGCACCACCATAGAATGTGCTGGAAGACCCTTGAGGAAGGGATCCAACAGCTGAGAGAAGTAGCAGTACTGGAGATACTCTTTGGGAGGGATGGACAGCATGAAAATGACCCCGACAAGGTCGGGTGCACAGGGTAAATGTTGTGGAGCCTGGCAAATCTGGGGCCATCTCAATACACCACCTTCATTGCAACGATTAATGCAGATACCAACCAAGAGACAGTGGGCTCTGTCGCCAACAAGCTTAGAAAGATGAGAGTATGATCAATGGCCCAATGCTGGCTCATGTCTCTGCTGTGATTAAAAATCTCAAAGAGGAGATGAAGGAGATGAGGGAGGGGTGAGGTGTCACAGACATATTTTATGAAAAATCCTTTCCTTAGGATTTTTTCCTCCTGAGAAGCTGAGAGGCCTCAGGAACAAAATGTAAACAATAATTGTCGTGAACGGCAGAAGAATTGCCTCACACAATATGTGTGAACAGCAAATCCCAAAGTTTATTGATAGCTCACACATATTTATATTGGTGTTAATGAAGCTTATACATATTGCAAAAGCTGAGCTCATTATTGGTTAAAGCACACTTAGATCAACCACACCTACTTCTATGCTCTAATGATTATTTTGTTTCTATGTTTACATTCTTATAGCTACTCTACCTAGGCTATCTTCATTTTCTGGCAAGCGATTTTCTCCCCCATCTTCCTGTTTCAGCGAAGATCACCATGACCTCTGTCAGTGATTGGACACTGGTTACTTAATCCCCAGCTTGTTTCCCCTATCCTTATCCAACGGTATCACATCGAAGTGGCCTTTCTCAGCTAGCCAATTATCCACAAAACTCTCCACAAATAATTATCTGCTGCTGTGGAATTAACAGGTGGATCTGTGATTGGTCTCATGTGGTTATTTCTAATTACTAGCCAATCACAGTCCAGCTGTCTGGACTGTCTTGGTCAGTCACAAGCCTTTGTTACTCATTCTTTTTCTATTCTTAGCTAGCCTTCTGATGAAATCCTTTCTTCTATTCTTTTAGTATAGTTTTAATATAATATATATCATAAAATAATAAATCAAGCCTTCTGACTTCTGTGGAGTCAACATTCTCATCTCTTCCCTCATCCTGGGACCCCTGCGAGCACCACCACAGTGAGGAGCAACAGTTCCCATATGGCACCAGTGCAAGTCACAGCCCCAAAGTCAGAGCCCAATATTCTCCAGCTAGACAGAGAGGGTACACCCCAGGGGCTGACGTGTGGTTCTCCCTGCATGACCATGGGGAAGACATGGGAAGGTGGGATGGAAAACCCACTTCTGTCCTGGCAGCACGGGTGCATCAACTCACCGAGGGAAACACTAATCAAGGGAACTCCAGTAAAGTGAAGGTAGCCTCAACCTCCCATGACCGAGCTGCTGGGTATGATCTATCAGATCTCCTTGAAGGAGAGAACCTCTAGCATGCGTGCCCAGGAAAGAAATAATAACCAGGATTAGGGGGGGCCTGCCTGTAGCCAGGAAGAGGCATGGGAAAACTGGATCTTTTAGACAGTGTGGATCTGATGGCCTGGCACATCAAAGCCACAAAAATATGATGCCTTAGTTGATACTGGTGTGCAGTGTACTCTAATACCATCGGGACACATTGGGGCGGAACCTGTTTCCATTGCCAGGGTGACGGGGATTGACTGTGTTGGAAGCCGAGGTGAGCCTGACTGGGAAAGAGGGGCAGAAACATCCTATTGTGACTGGCCCAGAGGCCCTGTGTGTTCTGGGCATAGACTTCCTCTGGAATGGCTTTACAAAGACCCAGAAATACTCAAGTGAGCTTTTGGAATAGCTGCTGTAGAGGCAGAGAACATGAAGCAGTTGAACACCTTGCCTGGACTATCAGAAAACCCATCTGCAATAGGACTTCTGAAGGTGGAAGAGCAACGAGTGCAATTGCCACCTCGACAGTGCACCACCGGCAGTATCGGACAAATTGGGATGCTGTGATCCCCATGCACAAAATGATCCATGAGCTGGAGAGCCAAGGGGTGGTCAGCAAAACCCACTCACCCTTCAACAGTCCCATCTGGCCTGTGTGCAAGACTGACAGAGAATGGAGATTGACTGTGGACTATCGTGGCTTGAATGAAGTGACTCCACCACTGAGTGCTGCTGTGCTGGACATGCTGGAACTCCAGTAGGAGCTGGAGTCCAAGGCAGCAAAGGGGTACGCCACCACTGACAATGCTAAGGTGCTCTTCTCCATTCCTCTGGCAGCAGAATGCAGGCCTCAGTTTGCTTTCACCTGGAGGGGTGTGCAGTACACCTGGAACCGACTGCCCCAGGGGTGGAAGCACAGCCCCATCATCTGCCATGGACTGATCCAGAGTGCACTGGAAAAGGGTGAGGCTCCAGAGAACTTGCAGTACATCAATGGCATCATTGTGTGGGGGAACACAGCGATGGAAGTGTTTGAGAAAGGAGAGAGGATCATCCAGATTCTGCTGGAAGCCGGCTTCGCTATCAAGAAGAGCAAAATCAAGGGACCCACCCAAAAGATCCAGTTCCTGGAGTAAAGTGGCAAGATGGACGGTGTCAGATTCCCACTGAGGTCATCAACAAGATCACAGCAGTGTCTCCACCAACCAGCAAGAAGGAAACACATGCTTTCCTAGGTGCTGTAGGCTTTTGGAGAATGCACATTCCCGAGTACAGTCAGACTGTGAGCCCTCTCTACCTGGTCACCCGCAAGAAGAACGATTTCCCCTGGGGCCCTGAGCAGCAACAAGCCTTTGCACAGATCAAGCAGAAGATCACTCATGCTGTAGCCCTTGGCCCAGTCAGGACAGGACCAGAGGTGCAGAACGTGCTCTGCTCTGTAGCCGGGAACAATGGTGTGTCCTGGAGCCTTTGGCAGAAGATGCCTGGGGAGACTCGAGGCCAACCAACTTCTAGAGCAGAAGTTACAGAAGATCCAAAGCCAACTACACTTCCACAGAGAGGAAAATCTTGGCTGCCTATGAAGGAGTCCAGGCTGCCTCAGAGGTGATTGGCACAAAAGCGCAACTCCTCCTGGCACCCCAACTACCAGTACTGGGGTGGATGTTTAAAGGAAAGGTTCCCACCTCCCACCACGCCACTGACACCACATGGAGTAAATGGATTGCTCTCATCACACAGTGCGCCCATATTGGAAACTGAATCACCCTGGGATTTTGGCAATAATTACAAACTGGCCAGAAGGTGAGAACTTTGGTCTCACTGATGAAGAGGAACAAGAACCAGTGACGTGCTGAAGAAGTTCCTCCCTATGACCAACTGCCCCCAGAGGAAACGCGCTACGCTCTTTTCACTGACGGTTCCTGTTGCATCGTAGGGATGAACCAGAAGTGGAAAGCATCTGTATGGAGCCCCACACGACAGGTTGCAGAGGCCACTGAAGGAGAAGGTGGATCAAGTCAACTTGCTGAACTCAAAGCTGTTCAGCTGGCCCTGGACATTGCTGAAAGAGAGAAGTGGCCAAAACTCTACCTTTATACTGATTCATGGATGGTAGGCAATGCTCTGTGGGGATGGCTGGAGAGGTGGAAAGAGTCCAACTGGCAGCGTAGAGGAAAACCAATTTGGGCTGCTGATGAGTGGAAAGACATTGCTACCAGGGTAGGGAGGCTACCTGTGAAAGTCCACCATGTAGATGCTCATGTTCCCAAGAGTAGAGCTAATGAGGAACACCAAAACAATGAGCAGGTAGACCAGGCTGCAAAAATAGAGGTGTCGAAGATAGACTTAGATTGGCAACATAAGGGGGAGTTGTTCCTAGCTCGATGGGCCCATGATGCCTCAGGCCATCAGGGCAGAGATGCCACCTATAAGTGGGCACAAGACTGAGGGGTGGATTTAACCATGGACAGTATTTCACAGGTTATCCATGACTGTGAGACGTGTGCTGCCCTCAAGCAGGCCAAGCGAGTGAAGCCCCTATGGTATGGTGGGCGGTGGTCCAAGTACAAGTATGGGGAGGCCTGGAAGATTGACTCCATCACACTGCCCCAGACACGCCAGGGCAAGCGCTACCTGCTGACCATGGTGGAAGCCACGACTGGATGGTTGGAAACCTACCCTGTGTCTCATGCTAATGCCTGGAACACCATCCTGGGCCTTGAAAACCAGGTCCTTTGGAGGCATGGTAGCCCTGAGAGGATTGAGTCAAACAACAGGACCCATTTCAAGAATGGCTTTAACACCTGGGCCAGGGAACATAGTATTGAATGGATATACCATATCCTCTATCATGCACCAACTGCTGGGAAAGTTGATGGGTGCAATGGACTACTTAAAACTACCCTTAAGGCACTCAGTGGGGGGACTTTTAGAAATTGGGAAATGAACTTAGCAAAAGCCACCTGGATGGTCAACATCAGAGGGTCCATAAATCGAGCTGGTCCTGCCCAGTCTGAACCCCTGCACACAGTGGAGGGAGATAAAGTTCCTGTGGTACATATGAAAGGCATTTTAGGGAAGACTGTTTGGGTTAATCCCACCTCAGGCAAAGACAAACCCATCCGTGGAATTGTTTTTGCTCAAGGACCTGGTTACACTTGATGGGTAATGCAGAAAGATGGAGAAAGCAATTGTGGACCACAGGGAAACCTAGTCTTAAGTGAGAACTCTATGTAAGGTTTCATTGTGATGCAGATGGAAATAGAATAAGGGGTGGGTAATGTCCCGACTGCCAAGCAAGATGTTTTCTATTTGCCATCTGAATGGCAGTTGTCTTCTGTTTTCCTTATCTTTTCCACAACCAATCCTCCCTCAGGGGAGACATCTGTTGTTAATAGGCTGTTGCATGTCACTGCATGGCTGATAAGATCTACAGCATCCCACTGGGAGATGTGAGCCCAGAGAGAGGAGCCAAGCATTGCTACCCAGATATAATCTTGAGATTCTGGAACACCAGCATGGCTTTCTCCACTGGATCCCCAGAGGAAACAGCTGCCTCTTCCACGGGATATTCAGAGGAAGACTTCACCCTTTCTACAGGACCACTGCTCCAACAAAACCGTATCTGCTACTCCAGGAGGACTGCAGGCACATTTCCACTTGGACTGCTACCAACACCCTGAACAACAGGATGTCAGGTTGTGTTCTGACTCTGGCAGTGTTGGTTGGATTTACTGCATTGTTTATTTTGTCCTTGTATTTTTTTCCCTAATAAAGATCTCTTATCCCTGCTCCCATATATTTGCCTGCGAGCCCCCTTAATTTCAAATTCATAACAATTCAGAGGGAGGAGGTTTACATTTTCCATTTCAGGGGAGGCTCCTGCCTTCCTTAAGCAGATACCTGTCTTTCCAAACCAAGACAGGAATATTTTCCAAGGCTGGTCATAAGGAAAACAGGAACTTTTTAGCAGTTCCTGGGAGCAGACAGTGTTTCTGATAAGCTTGGAAAGAGCAAAACCCAGGTGCCGTTTCCAAGGACAAGACCTAACAAGCATTTCTCAGATCACACTGCAGCCTGGAAAGGAGGAGGGGGCAATGCACCACCACACTGGGATCTCAGGGGTGCCCATGGCCTGGGTGATGCTGCCTGATGTCAGCCACCCACCAAAGCCACTCTGTCCCTGCCTCCCACAGCTGCACAGGGCAGAGAAAATTTAACCAAGAGTTCCTGAGTTGGGATAAGACAGGGAGAGATCCCTCATCAAACACCAAAATAGGCATTACAGGCCCAGCCTGGGCACAGGGAGGGAATTTATTACCAACCAAATCACAGCAGCACAAGGAGAGGGGAAATAAATTTCTCCAACACCTTCCCCCCACCCAACAAGGGTCACCCAGAATGGGCATAACCAGGGCTCTGCCCAACGGGGGTCACTGGGGATCATCCAATGGGGATCCTCCCATGGGGGATTGTTGTATTGCACTAAAGATGGAGCTGGAACAGCGTATAAAGCTCTTCCTGCAATCAGGGCACTCGCAGGGCCTCTCCCGGAGTGGATGTGGCAGCGTGCCCTTAGGTCGGAGCTGTTGCTGAAGCTTTTCTCACACTCCCCACCCTCGTAGGGCTTTTCCCCAGTGGGGATCTGGCGATGATTGAAGAGGGGGGAGCTCGGGGATAGAGGCGAGGCGGGTCGGGCTGGGGCAGCGCTGGGCTCTGGGCCCGACCTGGGCGCCCCCCACGCGCCCCTTCCCCGAACAGCCCCGGCGGGGGACACAGGTGGGGTCCGGGTGGGGGGCGCTGGGTTCCTGTTTTGGGGTCCCACTCTCCCCTTTTCCCCACTTTCCCACCGTCTCCCACCCCTTCCTCACCTCCCCCCAATCCTCAGCCCCTCCCGCTCGGCCTTTGGGCGGTCCCCTCCTCCTCCCCCTCCATTCCGGTCTCCCCCTTGGCTCCCTTTTCCCCCTTCTCTCCCCCTGTCCCAGCGCCTCCCGACCCCGCTCACCCGAGAGCTCCGCGCCCGCAGTCGGGGGGGCTCCCAGCACCACCAGTGCCACCAGTAGGGCCCCAGCTGCCGCCCCTCGTCCCATGGCCGGGGCCGGGCAGGGAGCAGCAGCCCCAAAGCAGCCGCGCTGCGCTGGCAGCACCAGTCCGGAGCAGGGCGGGCTCGGCAGCGCCGCGCGCTCTCATTGGCTGCCGCCACTTTTGGCGACCCGATCTCAGAGGCTCCGCCACACAACTGATGACTCTTCAACGCCCCGCGCTCTCATTGGCTGCGGCGCGTTTTGGCTGTGTTTTGATTGGCTGAGGCCTTTCCGGGCCGCTGCAGCCCCGGGCTGGGAGTTTTTTGGGGAGGGGGAACCTTGGGGCACTGGGCGGGTGGGAGCTCAGGTGAGCCCAGCAATGCGTGCCCAGGGGCGCGGGATCTCAGCGGTGCCCGTGGCGAGCGGTGACGCTGGCCCGATGCCAGAGCCGCTCTGTCCCTGCCCCCGCAGCCGCACAGGGACAGAAAATGGAACCGAGGGTTCCTGGCTGGGGACAAGGACCGGGAGAAATCCCTCAGCAAATCCGGCACGGGCACAACAGACCCGGCCTGGGCACACGGAGGGAATTTATTACCAACCAAATCACAGCAGCACAAGGAGAAGGGAAAGAAATCTCTCCAACACCTTCCCCCCACCCAACGGGGACCACCCAGAACAGGGGTCACCAGGGCTCTGCCCAACGGGGGTCACTGGGGATCATCCAGCACGGATCCTCCCATGGGGGAGGAGCTGGAGCAGTGCACGAAGCTCTTCCCACACTCGGGACACTCGCAGGGCCTCTCCCTGGTGTGCAAGTGCTGGTGAGTGATCATCTCTGAATCCCACCTGAAGCTCCTCTGACATTCCAAGCACTCATACAGGGCCATTCCCCAGTGTGGATCTTGTGGTGCTTGGTGAGGCCGGAGGTCCCACTGAAGCTCTTCCCACATTCCCCACACTCCCAGGGCCTCTCCCCAGGGTGGATGTTCAGGTGTTCCATCAGGGTGGAGCTGTAGCTGAAACCCTTCCCACATTCCAAGCATTTGTGGGGCTTCTCCCTGCCATGAGGCTTCTCCACCAGCTCTGAGCTCTGGCTGGATCTCCGGCTGCCTTCCTGGCTCAGGGGGGCTCTTTCCTCCCTGCAGCTCCCTGGGCTGGGTTTGCAGCCCCTCCTCATGCGGGATCTCTGGGGCTTTTCCTCCTCCGCCATCTGGCCACAGCTTGGGAATGACAGATCCTGGTTTGGGGGAAACCAAGGTGGGAATACCTTGGAGTAGAGGCTCCTCCTGTCCAATTCCATCTGTAGAAGTCAGCAGGAGTCTTGTGTCCATGAAAATCTCCACAATGTCAAGGTTCAGCCCAAAAAGCTCTCCAAAGATTCCCCATCACTCATCTCTCCACTTCTGGTGTTCCAGAGGTTTCCTGATTTCCTTTCCTTGGGATCATGGGGGTCCAATGGTTCCAGGGCTTCTCCATTCTCCGGCGTCCTGCTCAGGGATGATTCAGGGGCTTTTGGGGGTCCATGGGGGCCCTTCTCCCCTGATGCTCTACTCTGAGATCCCAGGGGTCCCAGGGGTCCCTCCTCTCCAGGCTCCCCCCCTTTCCAGTCTGCCGGGGTCCTCCAGCTCTGGGATCGCCCCTCTCTGCTCTCCCCACTCTGGGGGTCCCAGGGGTTCCCCTCCTCTGCTCTCCCGGGGGTCCCCAGGACCAATGTCCTCCCCTGCCCATACTGAGCAATGGCCACGTGGGCCCCCAAAGATCCCCCAAGGGGCTCAGCTTTGGGCTCCTGCAAAATCCAAACCAGCACACACAGAGAAAAAAAACCCTCCCAGAGACACCAGATGATATTTGGGGTCAATTCCACAATCTACAAGTTCCAAATACCCCCCCAATAAAACACCCTCTCAGGGACTCCTGGATAGATTTGGGACGAGCTCCCCCTCCCCACTGAGCTGCAGGACGAGCTGGGGGCGATGGTCCCGTGGCTGCGGCCACGGGGGGCACTGGAACCTCCTGTTCCTCCTGTTCCTGCTCCTGCTCCTCCTCTTCCTGCTCCTCCTTTTCCTCTCTCCCTCCTCCTCCTCCTCCTTCCTAATCCCACCTCCTCCCCAGTTCCTGCCTTCTCTGTATTTAGAGTGGAGGACCTTGCTTGTTTTTAGAACTAGAACAAAGATCCCAGATGGAACAAGGCTTGCTGCTTTTAGTCAGAACTATCAGTGACTAAAGGTCACGTTTCCTTTGCTTTGGTCCTGTCCTTGTTCTCCTCAGTGTTCAGGCTGGGCTATAGGGTGTCCTTGTTTGCTGCATTTTCCGAGTTCCTCTTGCATCCTTTGGGCCATGGGCTGTGCCCTGGGAGGGTTCTTTGTGCTCCTTTGTGACACAGGAGAACCTTCCAGGCGGTTTCTGCGTGAGCTGCTGCTGGGATGTCACAGGAACAGCGCCACGTCCCCGTGGTGTTCCCGTTGCTGTGGGACACGGAGGCCTCAGTGCCCAGAGTGGCTCTGGGCTCGCTGCCGGAGGATCCTCCTGCCCGAGGCATTCTCAGCAGCCAGCCCAGCCCTGTCCTTCTGTGCTTTCAGAGCTACAGGCTGCAGGCGTGTGCAGTGCAGCCAAAATGATCCAGCACGTGGCTGCTGCAGTTTGCACTCTGTACTCTGTGGCTTATTCGGGGTATTTTTTAACCCACTTGGCACGTAAGTTGAGGTTTTCCCTCGGTGCAGCATCTGTGGCTTTGGGCTTGCTGTGTGCTTTCTGTTCTTCCTCTGGAGCTGAGTTGACTTTGGAACCAAATTGCCATGAAGACACCATTGCTTTGGGAGAGTTCCTGCCAGCAGCTGCAGCTGAAAAAGGGGGTGTCTGCAGCCAGCGGGGCGTGCACAGCATCTGCAATGAGCCCTGGGGGGTTCTGTTCCCTCAAGCAGGGAGTCTGTGCCAGCAGAGCCTGGAACTCCCTCCCTTTGCTGCTCCAGCCAAGAACTGACCCAGCCCAGTGTTTTGTGCTTGTTCTCTTGCTTGCTGTGGGAAGGGACTGTGGCTCCTGGAGGGATGCAGTGAAAGCAAAATGCTCTCTTGGGGTTGCCTTGCTCCATGGCATTTCCCACCACTGGCAGTTTTTCTCCTAACAGCATCTGGTTCATGTTCCCTCTCCCATTGCAGGGCACCTCATGTCTGGATTCCGAGCAGCTCCTCCTTCGGTGAGTGGGAAAGGAACCTTTGGTGTTTGGAATTGTGCAGCAAGTTGTGAGCTCGGCATGTGGCAGCCAAGTGCCAGCTTGGGAGGCTGAAGGAAAGGTCCTGTCAGTGTCTTTGCAGCAGCAGCAGCAGCAGCAAAGGAATTCCCATCAGTTTTCTCCTTTTCTGCTGAAGAGCTTTTGAAGAGCTGCAGGTCTGGTTTTGCAGGCAGAGGATTGCTTGCTGGCTTTAGCCATGGTGGAATATCGAATTCCCAACAATAAGTGGCAATGTCGACTTCAGCCCATTGTTAGTTGGAACAGCTCCAAACCCCATTTCTGCTTAGTGCAGCTGGATGTGCAGCTGAGGATAAATAAGGTGATAACTGAGATAGAATTTCCCATCCCTCACGCTGCCGTCTGTCCACAGGGCACAGAAGCAGCACCAGCACCTCCTGGGGCTCCCTCTGCTTCCGAAGAGGAGGCCCAAGAGGAGGAAGACAGCAGTGAGCTTCCCGCTGCTCTGGGGGACGATGGTGAACTTCCCTCAGCGCCGGGAGATGACAGTGAACTCCCCGCTGCTCTGGGAGACGAGGGGGAACATCCCGCGGGGTGGGAATGCAACGGCGAGGCTCCCGCGGGGTGGGACAAGGACAGGGGACATCTCCCGGCCTGGGACGAGGACGGTGGATGTCCCCTGGTGTGGGACCAGAGTGGCCAAGCTCCCACAGAGTGGGATGAGGACAATGGACATCTCCCAGTGTGGGATGAGGATGGAGGATATCCTGTGGCTTGGGAAGAGGAGAGTGAACATCTCCCAGCATGGGAAGTGGACAGCGAACATCCCCTGGCTTGGAAATATGATGGTGAACCTGCAGCGTGTTGGGAAGAGGATGGAGAAGCTGCAGAATTTTGGGGAGAGAATGGAGAAGCTCCCTCTGCTTGGGAAGAGGACAATGAACCTCCCTCCGCTGTGCGATCCTGGGCTGAACATTCTGACAGCAGCACAGCAGGGCAGCCAGAGGGGAGAGGGGAGTGGTGCCTGATGCAGCTGAGTACGTCTGCTCTGTTCCTGGGTGCCCAAGCAGGTGCTGTGTGTGTGTCTGGGCATCAGCTGCACCCAGTGTTGCTCTGCAGCTGAATGTCACCGAGCCATTTATTGTCCTTCCCCAGCTGACACCAAGGGGCTCACGGCCCCAGGGAGTGGGGCTGCTTCTGGCTCTGCTGCAAGGCAGGGTCTCACTCTGGGAGGGAGCGTCTTCCACGTGGTTTCTTTCAGGGAACACCGTGAGCGAGGAGGAGCCTGCCGAGAAATACCTGGAAGTGGAGCAGATTGGCCAAGGGTAAGTGCACGGCAGCTGCTGCTGCACAAGCAGGGCCGGGTGTTGTGCTGGTGCAGGATCGAGTGAGAAGTCAGGAGAGCTCCAAGCACCTTCAGACACTGGGCTACCATCCTGCTGTCTCTCAGTCCTGATCAGAATTGATAACTGTGGTCAGAAGGCGCCGTCAAAGGCCCCTGAGGCTGGCAGTGTCCTGCCTGCATCAAGGAGCAGGACCTGGAAGATCTTCTGTCCCTGGAACTGGATTGCCTAAAAGAGCAACTCACCATCTGGTGACTGTCAGAAAACAGTTCTCAAGAAGATTTCTTTCAAATATTTTCCTTCAAAAAATATCCACTGGTCAGGATTATCAACCTAATGGTTTAGAAACAGAAACCAGAGATGAACTAATAAGTGCTCTATTCTAGCACAGGTAGCAGACCCCATCCATTCAGTAACAGACACAGAGCTGATGCACTCTGGGGGAAAAAGCATCACCTGCCTGATGGCAGGGCCCTTGTGGAACCTGCAGGTCTTAGGCAGGAAGTGGAAAAGCATGAAATGCATTCTTTTCCAGTTCTTTAGACACCCATTTCTCCTCCTAGCTTTGGAACTAAAGCAATTCAGGGTGGATATTTGGGATTTGCTCCAGGCCAATTCCTTCATGTTGGGTCTCAGTTTTCTCCTGCACACCTTGCATGGCAGAGGGCTGGTGGCTGCTGTGCTGTTGTTGGAAGGGTCGATGCACCCAGGTGTTTGTGAATGCTGCAGGCAGCAGAGATCTCCTGTCTGGGCTGGCTTTCCCTGCCAGGGCCTAAAGCGCTGCTTCTTTCTTCTCTGCTGTTTTGTCTCCAGGGCTTTTGGAACCGTTTATAAAGGACTCGACAGGGCCACTGGAGGAGAGGTCAGTGCCAACACGCCCAGCACGCCTGGCAGCTCTCCAGGGCTTTCCCCTCTGCTGGGAGCTGTGGCTGCAGCTTTGGGGGCCAGCAGAGCTTTCCTGCCCAGGCTGCTCCTCTGAAGGCAGAGCAGTGTCAGCCTGCAGAGCACAGCTGGGACAGACTTGGTCCTTCTGAAGCGCCAAAGGAATGCAAGGAGGGCAGCGGTGTCTGTCAGAGCAGGACATGCTGGCTTGGCCTTCATATCTAAAAGTGTGAATGCATCAGCTGCTGGAGACTGTGGCCCAATTTATCTTCATCCCAACCTTAGACAGGAACATTATTTAGCTATTCTTAGCTAATCTATAACAATATTATTTCCATCCTGCCTTTTATCTTCAAAGGATACCTCAAGGCCTGATTAGGGAGAGATCCTGCTTGGGCTCAATTTGGGGTTTTAGTCCTACTTCAGCTGTTCACAGAGAGAGAGGGAGAGAAATGAGAAGACGAATGTCCAGAGCAAAGCTCTCTCCTAAAGCCTCCAGTTGTGTTTGGGTCTGGTGTCAGTGACAGCCTGTGACAGGGATCACCTGAGCAATGGGTGTGTGTGTCTGCTTTGTTCTGCAATCCCAAACAGAGCAGTTGCATCTGAAATCATGACCAAATCCCATAGAATTGCTAAGGGGTTCCTGGCTGTTTTGCTTTGTTTTCAGAGAACCAGAATTACCTCCTGCTTGCAAAATGGGTTTGAATAATAATAATAAGAGTGTTGAGGCCATTTGAGAAGACTGTAGGTGCAGAGAATGTTGTTAGAGCTTTGAGGCTGACAGCTGAGGGACCATTTCTGCAGAGCTTGCAAGGCCAAATGTCTCTGGCCATGTGTCCTGTAAGCAGCCCCCAGCTGGCAGAGCAATGGGCTGTGGGAATGGCCCTTGCTGAGCTCTGGTGTCCCATCCCAAGGCAGTTTGGCACAGCTCGGCTCTGTTGCTCCACAAAGACTCGCTCCGTGTTTGCTGTGGCCTCCTGCCACAGACTCCTCCAGTTCAAGGCTGCAATGTCCCTTCAGGTGGCCATCAAGAAAATGAGTCTCAGAGGGCAGAACAGGGAACGAGCTGTGAATGAGATCCTGCTCCTGAAGGACAAGAAGAACCCCAACATTGTCAACTCTTTGGACAGGTGAGTGCTTCAGCTCTGATCCCGAGCCTGGGCCCTGCGTTAACCTTTCCTGGCATCCAGAGTCTATAGCCTGTTTTGAAATTGCCGGACCCGCCACATCTTCCCAAAATAACAGCCTGGCAGTTCACTCCCTCCATGTGCTTTTGTTGCTTTGCTTTAGTTTTTCCTTCAAGTTGACTCCGTTTGCTGTGTCTCCCAGCAAGTGCTGATAAACCACAGCAGAAATTATTTCCCTTGGCTTCTTCTTCCCAGCCCTTTTCCATTGCTAAAAATGCCAGTAAGACCAAGTTCTTGTTTCCAGAAATGACTCATTTGCCCATTTTTCACTGGCCTTGCCTGTTTCTGAAGGGACTTTCTGAAAGGTTTTCTGACTGCTTTTGTCCCAAGTGCTGCATGGCCTCCTCCCCTGGATAACCCTGGCAGTTGTGTTGCCTTGTTCTGGAGGGAATGGTGGAACTGATGAGTTCAGAAGCTGAACCAGCTGGGGCCAAGGGTTGTGGTTCCACAATTGATCTGGGCTGTTGCTAAACTGCATTTTTCACCTGCTTGCCATCCAAGGCCTCTCCTTTCTCACAGGTGTCTCCTTCCCCTTTAGACTGTGCAGATTCCAAGGACTGTGCAGCCTGGCAGAAATGTCTCTCCATCTGATTCTGTCCTCACTGACAAGTGACCTGGAAACAAAACTCCACTCCAGGCTTTTCCATGGGGGAATTGAGCTCTGCACTTTAATCTCCATGCCATTGTTTTCCTCTTCCAGCTTCCTTGTGGATGGAGATCTCTGGCTGGTGATGGAATATATGGATGGAGGAACTTTGAGGGACGTTGTCAGACAGACACGCATGGCTGAAGGAGAGATGGCAGCTGTCAGTCGGGAGGTGAGGGATCCTGCTTGTCACTCCGATGGCTGGGACACGATGGTCCTTCCAAAGAGGGCGTGAGAACAGGAGTGGCTCCATGCTCAGGGCTTTGTTTCTGAGTTGTTTTTATGAGCTGGAGAAGAAAGAGCCTCTGCAGTGAACGGCCTGTCAGCATCACTGCACTTCTACTCTGTTCTTGTTCTCTCTCCTGCTGTTGTGGTACTCTCTTTCTGGTTTGGATTTGATTTGCTGTTCTCAGCTTTGCCTTGAGCCCTTTGCCTGGAGCTTGTGTGCACTGCACTCCTGGCCTGTCACAACAAAGCTGCTGCTGGCAGAATTCTGAGCTGTCCTTTCTGGTGTGATATATTCCGGCCATTGGTTTTTGCCCTTGTGTTTCTTGTTCTCTCTCAGTGTCTGCAGGGCCTGGATTTCCTCCATTCCAACCGGGTGATCCACAGGGATCTGAAGAGCTCCAACATCCTCCTGGGCATGGACGGCTCTGTCAGGCTGGGTGGGTGTTCCTGGCCAGGCACGGCGCTCCCGGGCTGCGGGGCTGGGGCTGCTTCCCAGGGAGGGCCAGAGCCCCACAAGGGCTGCTGGGGGCACTGCCCGGCCCCTGCTGCCAGCTGAGAGCGGCTGCCCCTGCAGAGAGCTCAGGAGAGGAGCAGGGGGCCAGCAGTGCCTTTGCTCTGGCCATGGCCCTTCCAGAGGGGCAGCAGTGGGAATCTAAAGCTCCAAGGGAATCAGTAAAAGCCACTGCAGGAAAGCTGAGGGTTTCTTGAAGGGCCCAGTTCCATCTTTCCTTTCCTTGGCTACAGCCCTGAGGACTTTTTCATCTGACTTCACTACTGCATTCTCAGACTGAGAGTGGGGAATCTTTGTGCTTGGTTTCTTCATTCCAGCTGCCTTTGACAGGGTTTGTTTCTGTCCTCAGCTGATTTTGGCCTCTGCGCTCAGCTCAGCCCTGAGCAGGACCAGCGCAGCTCCATGGTGGGCACTGCTCACTGGATGGCCCCAGAAGTTGTGACCAGATCTCCTTATGGCCCCAAGGTGGACATCTGGTCCTTCGGCATTGTGACCATCGAGATGGTGGAAGGAGAACCTCCTTACTTCAGGGAAACGGCGGCCATGGTAAGAGGCAAATTCTCCAGTGGCTGCAGAGGCTGCGAGCACAGGGGGACCCTGCACTGGGAGCAGCAGCTGGAGGTTTCTGCACATGGGAAGGGAATTCCCAGAAGACTTGTGTCTCCACACAGACGAATGTTCTGCAGTCTCCAGCAACAATTTGCTTTGGGCTTTTCGTTGTTGCAGCTCTTCTAGCTGAGAGGATGACCTGGAAATATGAAGCAAATGCATTAGCTCTAATGTTATCTTGCAAGAAAACCCCACACCATCCCCAAATCCCAGCCCCAAACCCAACAAGATTTCTGCAGGAGTTTCTAAAAGAGGTTTTGCAAGATGATCTCCCCCTGATTCTTCTCACTGGGAAACTTGTTGAAAACATGAAGATGATGGTTTAACATCCCCATAGTCTAACATATTTCTTTCCTAGTCCAAGCTACTGTGTCACCAAGCCTGAGCTTTCAGCATCACAAACCTCCTGTTTCTTGCCTGGCAGTTTCTGGGATGGGGCATCAGGAATGCATTTACTTGAGTGTCAGTGGCACTGCAGAGATGCACTTGATGGAAGAATCGTCTGAAATAACACAGGCAGACCACACTGACTCTGGAAAATGGCCTGTAAAGCTGGTGTCCATATTTGGAGAAGCAAAATGGGCTATTTCTGATGGAGGTTCCTACTAACAAAGCCGGCCAATGAAACTGGCTCTCAAGGCGAGATCATTTGGATGTTGCAGTGGCTGTGGCAGCCCCAGGGTTTGGGTTTTTTGGTTTGCATAGCAAAATGAGCTCTGAGCAGCATCTCTGGCAGGGAGGAAAGTGCCCCTGGAGCTGGGGCTGAGGCCCCGGGGTGGATGTGAGCCCGTGTGGGTGTGAAGGGAGCTGGCAGAGCGCTGAGTTTGCTTTCCCTGCAGGCTCGCGCTCTGATCCGGCAGAACGGGACCCCGCAGCTGCAGGAGCCCCGGCGCCTGTCGGCTCTGCTGCGGGACTTCCTCGAATGCAGCCTGGAGCTGGACGAGGAGCGGCGCTGGGCTGCCCAGGAGCTGCTGCAGGTGAGAGCCAAGGGCTGCAGGGGAAGCAGCAGCGCCAGGGAGGGGTTTTCTTGTGGGGCCCCCTCCGATAGTCTCCAGTCTCGCTGCGTTCCACGTGCAGAGCGAGCAGAATCCTCGCCTGCTGTGGCCTGGCAGGCTCCTTTCGAGCTCATCTGGACCTGGTGCCCCACAGTGAGCAGGGACATCTTCAAGCAGCTCAGGGGCCTCAGAGCCCTGCCTGACCTGAGCTTGGATGTTTCCAGGCAGGAGGCACCTCCCACATCTCTGGGCACCTCCTGTCAGTGTTTCCCCACTCTCCTGGTTAAAAAATTCTTCCTTAGATCTAATCTGAGCCTGCTTCCCTCGATTTTCAAACCATTTCCCTTTGTCCTGTTGCAACAGAGCCTGTGAGGAACTTGACTCTGGAAAGTAACAGTTCATTTCTTTATTTTTTATCCTTTGGGCAGCACCCATTTTTATCATCAGCCAAGCCTCTCTCCAGCCTGACCCCTCTGATCACTGCAGCAAAGCAACTGAGGGAGCAGCGGAGCAGATGAAGTACTTGAGGACAGCTTCTTCTTACAGTAGTTAGGACAACTAGTTAGTCATGGTAGTTAGCACTGGTAGTTAGTTAGGATAGTTAGCATTGCTAGTTAGTTATGGTAGTTAGAGCAGCCTGTTTGTTATGAAAGTTTTCTGAATAAAAACGCTCTTAAACCTCAACTCCCTTGACGTGTCCCTTCCCTCTCCCGCTGTGACTCAGCTGCCCGGAGCAATGTGAGGGGAGGGCGGGCCCAGCCTGGCCAGAGCTGAGCCCCAGCAGAGCCCTGGCAGAGCCCAGAGCAGCCTCGGCACCTGCAGAGTCAGCCTGGAAGGAGGCGCTTGGAGCCTTCTCGGCTGCACCCGGCTCTTGGCTACAAACTGTGTGTGCTGGAAAATGCCACCGGCTCTGCAGGAGGGCAGAAGGGGCCCGGGGAAGGCCCAGGTGCTCCATGCAAGGGAAAAACCTGCCCTGGGTTTGTTATAAATAACTAGGTAGTGTTGCCTTTTGCTATTATGTATTGACTTCTGCAAAATATTCTTAATCACAACGAGTTTGATATAGTACAGTTTGTAATCACTTTTAACTGCTTTTGCTATAGTATAATTTGTCAACTTTTTGTGGCCAATGCCCTGGCCCCTGTGTAGCTCATATCCTCAGAACATCATTTATGGATGATATTTTAGTTTTTGGACAGTGTGAAAAACATACATTATAGTTTTGGCTTTTGCAAAATATTGAAGTGGATGCCAGATGTTGTGCATTAGAATGTTAACTTTTGCAGAAATAGCCGTAGTTGTGAAATAAGAACTAATGCTTTTATTTTTGTAAATAACTGACAACAACGAGAAGCACTCAGAGATATTTGTGAAATAGCTAATGTTGGTTTAAAGTACTTGTGGAAGTAGCTAAAATCGTCTGCAGGGTCAGATAACGTCTAAGGAAAGGATGTGATGAAGACCCCTGCCACTGACCCTTCCACTGTCACCTGCTGAAACCACAGACCAGGGGCCCTTGTGAGGGAGTGACACACAACCCTCAAAACAGCAATCCACGATTCCTGCACGTGCTCTAAAAAGGCGAGTTGGGGGTCAAACCAACCTAAAGAATTCCTGGAACATGTAAATGTGTTCAAAGAAATGTTTGAATATGTATAATCATTATGAATATGTATTTGAACAATACAATGGAAAAAGTAGACAAGAAGAGTTGCTGTGGTTAACCGGTGTGCCTCTGGCCATTGCCAACACCCAGCGCTGTTACTGATTTGTCCCTTATTATTCCTTATTAAACTTTTAAAAATTCTAAAGAGTGAGGTTCCTTTATCACAAAACCCAAGGTGCTCACCCCTTGTTGCTCTCCTAAGCCAGATTTGTCAATCCTAAATTTTGTCTGGGCGGTGGAGGAGGAGGCTGCAAGGAAAAGAAAGATGTACTGGTGTGGAGGCTGAGGACTCTACCATCAGAGTCTCAATTCCACAGCTATGGAGGACTGGTCCCCAAAGAGAAGAATAGATTTCAAGGTTATGGTGAGAAGCTTGCTTCTCCCACAGATCTTTGCTCAGGCACATGCTGATTTATGGAAAGTTATGTTACCCCATTGGCCCATTGGCCTAATTACCCAAGTTCACCCCCTGTTACCCATCTTTGGTTAGCCCCTAGAATGTTCTCCCTCTCTGTCCCTCCATTGGCCCCAGTTTACTGCATTCCTCTGCTCCTGTTTCCCTATTAGCTGACCCGACCCTTAACCCCTCCTTTGCTCCATTTTCCCCCATATCCATTGGACCCTGACCCTCAGCTCCACCCTCACTACCCCATATAAAAACCCCCTGTGCCCTCGGCTTGCACCCTGTCTTTGTGCCTGGACCCTGTTCAGCTCTGTCCCCTGTTCCTGTACCAATAAACCCAGTTTGCTGAGATCATACCCAGACCCATCCTGCCGACTTTGTCAGCTTTATAAAGCAGCCGTGAGCTCCGGGCTCCTGAGTGCCGGATGCTCCAAGGGCCTCGGCAGCGCCAGGACGCTCCAGACTGGGACTGCCAGGCAGGACAGGAGGAATCACTGCCCCTTTCCCCTCCCTGCTGCTCCATCTCCCAGCCCAGCATCGCTGCAGGACAGCCTCACTGCCAACGCCATCCTGCCAGGGATGGACTGGGGGGATCTCCTTCCCCTTCCCTCTGGCATGGAGGCAAATCCCATCTTCTCCTTCTCTGCCCTCCTTCCTCTCCTCATTCTGTCCTACATCCATCCACATTCCTTTCCCATCTCCTTCCTCCCTTGTTCCTTCTTCCTTCCTCTCCTCCTGCCTTTTCCCTTCTCTCAGTCTCTTCCTCTCCTTGTCCTTCCTCCCCCAGGCACTGAGCTGCGGACAGAGACCAGGGAGAACAAATCCCTGCCACAGAACCTCGTGGAAGAGGCCATTTGGAACGGCTCCACAGGGCAGGAATCCAATGGGGAGGAAAAGCCCCAGAGATCCCACACGAGGAGGGGCTGCAAACCCAGCCTGGGGAGCTGCGATGAGGTAAAAGCCTCCCTGTGCCGGGAAGGGTGTGGGGATTGTGAGAAGAGCTTTGGGCAGAGCTCAGCCTATTCCTGGCGCCTCCAAAAACAGTGGTGCCAGATGCAGAGATCCCCCCGCAGATCCATGGGGTAGCAGAGATCCCCCTGCAGATCCATGGGGATGCAGAGATCCCCCTGCAGCCCCCGGAGCAGCCACGCTGGAGCACGGGGATGCCTGAGAGGAGGCTGTGACCCCGTGGCCAGAGGGGCCCCGCTGGAGCAGCCTGTCCTGGCAGGACTGACCCCGGGGCACAGTGACCCATGCTGCAGCACTTGGAGGGGGGCTGTGCCCCATGGGATGGACTCAGCTTGGAGAAGTTCCTGGAGAAGTCTCCGGTGGGAGAGAGCCCAGGGTGCAGCAGGGGAACGACTCCTGTCCCTGAGCAGAGGGAGAAGCCCCGGGGCATGAAGTGAGCACGGCCCCATTCCCTGTCTCCGGCACCGCCGGGGTAGGAGGTGCAGCTGGAAGGAGGGAGGCGTGGGGGAAGGCTGGATTTAAGGCTCTTCACTTACTTCTCATTATCCTGCTCTGAGTTTTTGGGGTTTTCTGTCAGAAATCTCTCCCCTCCTCCACTCATCCACAGGGGTTTGGGGCGGTTTCCCCTATTTGAGGGAAATTAAAGCGATGCACCGATGCTCCTTATTAGGGGTAGGAGAAGTGAGGCTCCTGGCCTCCCCCAGAGCCGGAGCCACCGGAGCCGCAGTGCCGGGAAAGCCGTGGCGGGAGGTGCGGAGAAGTTTGCTTGTGTTTTCAGCCCAATCCCCCTCGGGCCCGGCCCGTTCCAGGGCTGCTCCTCATCTCCGGCTCTGCCCTCACGCAGCCCGGGGGGCCCTGAGAGCGCGGGGCGAGGCTGTGCCGGGTGCAGAGCCCGCCCCCTGGCTGCGATTGGCCGCCGCTGTCGTCAGTCGTGGTTCTGGCGCGCTGATTGGTGGGAGCGGGGCGGAGCAGGGCCCCGGTGGTGGCCTGAGGGCGTCCGTGGCTCGGCAGCGGCGCCATTGGCGGAGCGTCTGTGCGGGCCCGGGAGCAGCGGCAGCGGCCGGAGCGCGGTGAGGCGGCGGCGGAGCTGGGAGGCGGCCGCAGCGGAGGTGGGAGGCGCGCTGGGTTGTGCGGGGGCTCGGGGCTCGCTGCGGGCCTCGGGGGCGGCAGGGGGCTCAGGCGGGTTCGTTGTGCCGTGTCCGGCGCGTGTTGCCGCTGGCGTGAGGGCGCTGCGGGAGCGGCTGCCCGCGGTCTCCTTGCGGCCGCTGCCTCGGCAGGAGCCGCTGCCGGAGCAGCGCTGGCTCGGCCCGGTTCCTGTGGCTGGGACAGAGGCGGCTGCCCCGTGCCCGGGGCTGTGCGGGGAAATTCACGTGGCCGGAGGTTTCTGTGCCCCGAGGAGACAGAGGAGTCCTGTACAAGTGACTTTATTGCTGAGCAGAGGGAGAGGCCGTGGGGCATTTGCCGTGTGCTCTCTGCCATTGTAGTTCGCGGCCTCCTTTTTATCCTCATTTTCCCGGCCTCATCTCCCTCTCCCTTTGCCCACTGGCTGAGGTACTTGGAAGGTTCAGACCTCCCGATCCGCCAACTGCATGTCCTCGTTAATGTGCACCCCCACTTTTGTAGAACAGCCGATATTCCTGGCTCTGTTAAGTCTTTGTTCTTTTCCTCGAAGTTCAGGAATTTAGAAGAATTTTGAGCAGCAGTCCGTGTCAGTTTGTTCTATTGTCTGAAACTGATGTTTTTTTCCCGTTACTTCCTTCTCTACAAGTCCCTGGCCCTATCTCCAAGCAGATTGACTCATTGACTCTGGTTTTTTTTCGTACTGAGTCTTGTTTGGTTTTGGACTTATTCTCAGTGCCCTCATTCCCTGTCCTTCTGTAGCCGTTTCTGGATCAGGAGGCCTGGCTGCCACCTGCATCCCCTCGCTCACCTGCTGGATGAGCTGCATCCACAACATTCTCCATTTGCTGTTTCCTTTTGCAGCTGTACCAATTTCTGTTGCAGAGTCAGATATCCTCACCATGGGCTCTGCCTTTAGCTGTGCAAATTCCATCAGTGCAAGCGGGCAGAGCTTGGGCTGAGGGGCAGAGGGAATCAGCCCAATTCCTGCCCCGGGTAGGAAGACCCAGGTACATTGTCCAGGCTTTGCCCCAGCAGGGTTAATTTGCATTTCTAAAGCTCCTCTCGTGGCTGCCTGGAATAAAGCTTCTCTTCCGGAGCAGCTATGTAGCCCCCCCCATAGAACCTGCCTTTTTAGTTGTTGTTTTTGGTTTTGTTTGTTTTTTATTTATTTGGTTGGTTGGTTGTTTTTTTGTTTTGTTATGGTTTTAGGTAGGGGGATGGTTTTTGTTTGTTTTTTAAACAATATTTAAACAAACTATTAACTGTTTCTGAGTTAAATGGTCACCTTTAAAGTAGTTCTAGGTGAACGTTGAAAAACCCATAGCAAAACTTGATTCTCACGCTTCTGTCCCAAACCTACCTAACCATATAAAGTAGGATTATTATGAAAAACGATTCTCCTGTTGTATTCTTGTCACTGAAACTGCGGGGGAAACAAAAACCCTCCAACAATATCTTTAGTGTTAGAGAGTCAAGGCATTACTTGGTTTTGGCAAAGATATGCAGCACACATCATTCCATCCACACATAGCCCGAGTGTGCAGAGAAGATGATTCCATGACACGTGAGATTTATTAGTTTTTTCCTAAACTTTATGTAGTCTGAACCAATCTAAATCCATTGGTTTATGTTCATTGCTTCCGAATTGTGTAAGTTTTTAGTATTTGGTTTCCTATTAGATCCGGATTCCTTCCCCTCTGGAGTTAATTAGCTCCACACTCCTGGATTTCCTTCTCAGCCTTTTCCAGACCAGGTGTCTCCAGCTGTGCCGGGGGCAGTGTCTGGGGTAGCTGTTGGTTGCTGTTTGCTGCTGGGCGTTGATGTTTTGTTGCAGGTCGTTATCTCTGTGGGTGTCTTTTGGGCTATTCCCAGTCTGTGGAGATGTTGAACTCATCTCTGTTGAGTGGTGTAACACCCCTTAAATAAAAACTTTAAAATTTCTTTCCCAAAGGCAAACCTTTGAGTAGAGAAACCTTTCTGAGCAGAGAAAGAAGATTTAAAACAAACAAAACTGGTACATTTTGCAGCAATGCAATCGCAGTCAGCCCAGAGTGTGGGTGTGAGTGAGCCCCAGAGTGGAATTGTGCCGTGGTGCTCCCCAGCAGCTGTGGCAGTGCAGGCCCAGCCAGCGCTGAAGCTGCAGCAGTGGCAGCAAGGCTTGGCCGCAGTGGCTGGAGGTGCCAGAGGAGGGTGGCCAGGATTTCCGAGGGTTTGAGCAGAGGATCTGTGGGCAGGCCCAGGGGCTTGGCCCGCTGTGGAGCCCTGGCTGCTGCTGCGTTGCCTTCAGGGCAGGCTCAGTGGTGGCTCCCATGGTTCTGCTGCAGGCGGGAAGTGCAAATCTCCGGGGCTTCAGAGCCCCTGAGGCCAGGCTGAGGGGTCCCCCCGTGTTCAGCTGTGCTGGCGGCTGTTTCTGGCCTCAGGGACACTTGGCATGGGCCCCTTGGCCACCAGTGGTGCTGCTTTGCACTCCTTAGGCAGGAGCCGATGTCTTGGCTGGGTGTTGGCAACAGCAAAGTCCCAGGGCAGGCTCTGTGCCAGCCCAGCTTCCTGTGGGAGAGATTTCACAAGAGACAGGATTCTGGCCACGGACTGCCTTAAATGTACATCCCTTATCTCCACCCTGCACAAGGTGGAGAGTTACCAGGGTAAGGAATTCCAGACATCAATTCCAGGGGAAGTAATTGAATATCTGCCCTGGGTCTGTCTCTTCTTGCCTGAGCCAATGACAGAAGCCATGCCCATGGCATCTTGGTTTCTGTCACCGGCTTCCATAGGTGTTTCTTTCTTTCCCTATTTATTCTTTCTACTGACCTGAGCTCAGGGGGTGCCAGGGTTTATGGAGGGCCCATTGTATTCTTAAAGCTGCCATAACCCCCTAAAGGATCTTTCCTGTAAAATGAGTTCCCCTATCTGTGTCTATTGTTTCCACAATCCCTAATCTTGCATTTGTTTTAGAAATAATCTAATAAGTGATGAAGTGCTTGCTGAAGCAGTCAGAATTGCTTTTGCCGCCCTGTTGGGTGCCATGGTGTCAGCAGAAGATATTGAAGCCTTCCTGCTCAGGGCATTTCAGTGCCAGGCTCTTACAAGCACCCACAGCTCCGCGGGTTGAGCTGAGCATGGGGCGGTGACCTGCGCTTTGTCTGATTCCCCTTCCTTCCCTCCTCTGGAACAGGCTGTTGCTTATAGACACCACTTATCCTGGTTGCTTCAGAGTACTTTGGAGAGGCTCCATATCTAATTTTCCCCTTTTCTCTGGTGCTGCCCACACATCAGGGTTCACTTCAGCATGGATCTTGCCAGACGTCTGAGTCAGTGGTACAACAGAACTGGCCTCTATATCACCTCTTATGAAATAATTTGTGTTCCCAGTTTAGCAATCAAATCCCTTCCCAGTAAATCATGATAACAATTAGGAGCAAATAAAACTTCATGCATTTCAAATCCATCTCCAAAATTTGCTAACAGAGGTTGAATCAAAACACTCCTCTTTTCCACTTATCCCCTCACTAATCAAACATATTTCTAGCATTTTCCCCCCTTAAGTCTAAGATTCAGAGTGGATTGAGAGGCCCCTGTGTCCATCTGAAAATGCCTCCTCTCAATGCAGACCCACCCTGAATGTTCTCAAGGGCTGCAGTGTGGAGGGTCCCTGGTGTGATGGGAGCTTTGACAGCCCTGCCAATCCATGTCCATCAAGGGGTGGACTTGCTGGTCCTGAGGGTGCTGCTGTCTGTGCTTGCAGTGTCCTTGTGCCCTGCAGCTGGAGCCCTGATTCCTTGCCAGGGGCTGTTTGGGTGGGCTGTCCCCTGCCGAGGAGGGCAATGCCTCTGCCGGGTGCTTGTGGCCGAGCCCGTGCCCTGGGTGCTGGGGCCCCCTTGGGCCCTGGGGTTGATCCCTCAGGGGCTGTAGGAACTCTGCCCTGGCCTTTGCCTTCAGCCTGGCCTTTTGCTGCTCCCTTCTTGCATTCACCTGCTGGGCCTTTGTGCCCAAGTGCTGCAGGGCCTTCTTCTGCCCCTCCTGCAGCCCCCCTCAGTGCCTGTGGGTGCTCATCCTCTTGACAGCTCCTGAGCTTTCTGCAAAATAATTTGTTTTCCAGCGACCCAAACAATGTCTCGATCCTTCCATGTATAATCCACATTTCCCAGGTGTTCCTTGCTCCTCGTCCCTGTGCTCAGGGTGCCCTCCCCAGCCCGTATCCCAGAGCCGGTCCCTGTCCTGCCGCAGTGTCCAAAGGCGCCCCCCGGCGGGCAGGGCCGGCAGCTCCACGGGGCCGGGCAGCGGCCGGGGCGTCCCGCAGCCTCCTGGGGGCCGGGGGCCACTGCCGGCCCTGCCCGGGGCTGGTGGGGTCAGGCAGCGCCCGGCGCTGAGCCCCGGCTGCCCCACAGCCCCGGCCCGGCCCCGCAGCTCCCCCCAGGCCCCCAGCCCGTGCTCCCGGTCCCGCACCTCTGGCCCGGTCCTGCCGCTGCCCCCCACAGAGAAACCCCCTGAAACCCTGACCTCCTTGTTTTCCTCTCCGGGAAACCGGGGATACAAATGATCAGCTGGCAAATGTTGAGGATAAGACCCTGCTGAAATACATCCCAATCCTCAGTATTTTTCTCTTCCTCCTCCTTTCTATTATACTTTTTCATTGATTCCTGCTGCTGCATCTTGTCTTAACCATATTCCTGCACACTCCCCTTCACCCAGTCTCTTCCCAGCATACCAATGCCATCCATCCCCTGTTGTCCAAATCTCTTCTCCACTTCCCTTATTGCCCCCCTGGGTGTCCAAGTCCTTAATTACCTCTGAGGGAGTGTGCAATCTACCTCACCCTTCTCCCAAGGGACCCTTCAGAGATATTTTGGGATCATCATCCCTTTGGCACAGGACCCCTTCCTGGCTTTTCCTTTTCTACCCTCTACCCTTTTTTCCATCATCCCTTTTCCTTCCCACATAGATTCCTCCTGCTGCTTCCTGCCTTAACCATATTGCTGCACACTCCCCTTCACCCAATCCCTTCCCAACACACCAACATTATCCATGCCCTGTTCTCCAAAACCGAGGGGAATTTGGGGAGGTGGGAGTGGGGCAGCGCCAAGGCCGGGCCCCCCCGCGCTGTCCTGGCAGGAGCGGCTGCAGTGGGGACCGAGTGCGGGCGGGAGCGGCCGAGAGCCCAGCGCTGCCCCAGCCCGACCTGCCCCAGCTCCATCCCTGCCCCTGCCGTGGGATGCTGTGGGTCTGGGGGCAAGAGGGAGCCGGCAGCGGGTGCTGGGCCTGGGGCAGGAGGAGAAGGGAAGGAGAAGCAGGGTTGAGGAACAAAATGGTGAAACCCTGGACGTGGGAGGAAAAGGTGGGATTGTGCAGGAGAAGGAGGAATAGCAGGAGGAAGAGGAGTGTAAGGAAGAGTAGGGACACAGGAGGAGGAAGAGGAAGCAGCACAAGGTTCCACCTCTCCCTGTATCTGCAGCCTCTGACCCCAGCCCCAGGAGCGTTGCCCCCCCCCCACATGCAGCAGATGCCAGGGGATTGGGATCCACGATTTTCCCGGGGGTGAATCTTGGTGTTTCTGAGTTTTCTCGGGCTAAATGTTGGTGCTTTGTTTTTTGTGGGGGCTGAATCTTTTTATTTGGAGGGGGCTTTTGCTGAATCTTGATGTTTGGAAAGTTTTTGATCTGTGTCTTGATGTTTGGAGGACTTTTGTGCTGAATTGTGGTGTTTTGGAGGTTCTTAGAGACACAAGATGCCCAATGACCTAATGAGATGAACTTGGGCAAGGAGGAACTCCCAGTCCAAGGCACTCTCATCTTGTTTTTTTCCCCAAACCAGGATTTTCCATTCCTAGGACATGTCTGGAGGGAGGAGGAGGAAAAGCCCTGGAAATAGCGCACAAGGAGGGGCTGCAAATCCAGCCCAGGGAGCTGCAGGGAGGAAAGAGCCCCCCTGAGCCAGGAAGCGGCCAGAGATCCAGCCAGAGCTCAGAGCTGGTGGAGAAGCCTCATGGCAGGGAGAAGCCCCACAAGTGCTTGGAATGTGAGAAGAAGTTCAGCCGGAGATTGCACCTGATCCAGCACCAGGTGATCCACTGGGGAGCAGCCCTATGAGTGTGAGGAATGTGGGAAGCGTTTTAGCTGGAGCTCCAGCCTCAGGCAGCATCAGGTGATCCACACTGGGGAGAGGCCCTTTGAGTGTGAGGAATGTGGGAAGAGCTTCAGCCAGAGCTCCATCCTGATCCAATACCAGAGGATCCACACTGGGGAAAAGCCCTTTGAGTGTAGGGAATGTAGGAAGAGCTTCAGGCAGAGGGGCCAGCTGATGCAACACAAGATGATCCACACTGGAGACCGGCCTTATGAATGTAGGGAATGTGGGATGAGCTTCTGCCAGAAGGGGAGCCTGATGCAACACCAGAGGATCCACACTGGGGGAAAGCCCTGTGAGTGTGTGGAATGTGGGAAGTGCTTCAGCCAGAGCTCTGGCCTGAGGAAACATGAGAGGATCCACACTGGGGAAAAACCCTATGAGTGTGGGGAGTGTGGGAAGAGCTTCAGCATGAAGTTCCAGCTGACAGAACACCAGAAGATCCACACTGGGGAAAAGCCCTACAAGTGTGGGGAATGTGGGAGGAGCTTCAGAGGAAGCTTGGCCCTGATTCGGCACCAGGTCATCCACACGGGGGAACGGCCCTACACCTGCTTGGAATGTGGGAAGAGCTATGGGTGGAGCTCAGACCTGAGAAAACACCAGCGCACCCACACTGGGGAGAGGCCCTACGAGTGTCCTGAGTGTGGGAAGAGGTTTCACAGGAGCTCCGATCTCCTCAAACATGAGCGGATTCACACCGAGGAGAGGCCCTTCCGCTGCCCCGATTGTGGGAAGGGCTTCAAACAAAACTCCAAACTCATCATCCACCAGCGCATCCACACTGGGGAGAGGCCCTACGAGTGTCCTGAGTATGGGAAGAGCTTCTCTACGAGCTCAGTCTTGACCCGAGATCAGTGGAGGCGCCATTAAGGGAAGCCCTTGTGAGTGCCCCAAATGTGGGAAGAGCTTTGTGCGCTGCTCCAGCTCCATCCTCCATGAGAGGATCCACATGGGATGATCCCCAGTGACCCCCGTTGGGGAGAGCCCTGATGATCCGTGGTCCTGGTGATGAAAGTTGGAAGGCATCTGGCTGGGGGGCTCCACATCTTCCTGGTTCTCTGAGGATACCTAGATAAACCCAGAGGCAGGAACATCCATCAGGACGCAGGCCAACAATGGGAATTCCTTGGGAAGAGCAGATTTGTTGACTTTCAACCCCATAAAATCTTTTGCATTCAACCCTGGTGACATCAGGGAGTACTGAATGGTCTTGGAAGTATATTCTGCGTTGACTATATGATGCTTGTATCCCCAGTCATCTGTTCTGTTTATGCTGAATAATAAGTTTTGACCTTCAAGACTTGCTCTGAGAGTGAAGGGGTAGAGAAGCAGCATGCAGTTTGTTTTCAGAAACTGCACTCGCTCTTCCACATTCCTGCTCTGGGACTGTGTTGTCTGCGGATGGACAGACAGCGGGACAGAGCTCTCCTTTGCTTTTACTTAGTTTTAGCTAGCTGAGGCAAACAAGTTCCCTGAACTGTGGAGTTTTTCCCCTTTTCTTTGGACCTGTTTAAACCTGCTCTGGCCTGAACACCAGAAGAGCACGGGCAGCTCACACCTGTGGCCCACCGGGCCGGGCCTGGGCTGCGGCATTTCCAGCACCGGAGGAACTGATAAGGGACTGAGTGAGCTGAGCTACAGCCCACAGAGGGACCTTGTGAGTTTGTCTCTCTTTTAGAGCAGCAAGAGGTTTTATTGTTTAAAATTGTTTAGGTTTTATTGTGTAATAAACAGTTTTTTTCCACTTTTCTCCAAGGAGGTATTTTATTTTTCCTGAAGCAGTTGGGGGAGAGGCTGATTGAATCTGCTTTCTAGAGAAACTCCTTTGGAGGTTCTCTCCCAGATTTGCCCTGAACCAGGACAAGATCTTTTCCAACTTCAGGGATTCCATGATTTTGATTTCCTATTGCCCAAGAGTGTCTTCTGCAGCCAAATGGTGAAAAACTGGGCAAAAGACCAAGATTTTAGAGACAGTGGGATAGAAATTTCATCAAAAAAGGTTATTTCCTTCTACCTAAGCAGTGGATCCTCAGCTGGTATGGACAAGGAAAACCTTTTCTTTTGCCTTGATTTTGTTTCCATTTCTCTTTATCCCTTTAAAATACCCAATATTGAGGTAAAAAGAGACATTGAACTGAGATGTGAGTGTGGTCATGGTAGGACACATGGATACATGGAGAGTGACATGGGGACACATGGATATGAAGAGGGATGGGGCCATTTGTGGGGACACAGGGGGACACAGGCATGGATGGAGATGTGGGGAACAATGACAGGGATGGAGACATGGTGGGGAGACAGCCATGGGTGAGGACATGGTGGGACATGGCCAGTGACAAGTGGGGACATGGCCATGGCCTGGGTCATGGGGGGAACTTGCAGGGGATGTGGGGGATGCTGGGTTTAAGGGGGTTGAGGGTTCCTGGGAGGGACCTGGGGCTTGCTGAGGCCTTTGGGGACCCCAGGCCAAGTGGCTCTGGCTGTGCTGGGAGACCCTGGGGGAGGTTCTGGGGCAGCTGCTCAAGGACCCCCTGAACTGGAGCCCCAGCCGGGCATTGGGCTCTTGGAAGGGGATGAACATCCTCGTCCCCAGGAAGAAAATCCCAGCACCCCCAGGGTGTCAGAGGCACTTGAGAGGCCACAGCAGGGAAGGGAAAGCCAGAGAGAGCTGTCACACTTTTAAGCTAAACCCCAAAAGTCCCAAAACTGAGGGATTCCTCCCAGGAAAAAGCAGCCAAGAGCTGCCAGAATTGAGGGAAAGGGGGGATGTGACCCCCCCAGACTGAGCCAGAGGGGCCTGGTTTCCCCAAAACCAAGCACAGGGGTGAGGGTTGGGGCTGGAGGCACAATAGGGAAGGGGTGGAAGAGCAGGGGAAAAGAGGATTCAGAGCACGGGAGGGCTGGCACCCACAAATTGAGGGTGGGTCTTTGGGTTGGGGGAATGATGGGTATGGAGAGGGAAAGGTAGGGATGGAACAGAAAAAGAGCAATTTCATGGAGATCCCATTGTGTCCCCATCATTCGATTCCTGGAGTGATTCCCTGGGACTCTGGGGGGAAAAGGATCCACACTGAGTGGGTCCCCAAGCCCCCTGCCCATCCCTGGGGGGCTCATGGGGGGTTCCCTCCACCCAAATGCCACTGGTGCTGCAGCCATGGGGAGAGGTGGGATTTGGAGTGGATCTGGAAGGAGGAGCAATAGGAAGAGGTGGGAGAGGAGGAGGAGGAACAGGAGGAGAAAGAGGAGGAGCCCCAGCAGAACCACACCTGTTTCCCCACCTGCCCGCTGAGTCTGCAGCTCCCCTGGCCGTGACAGCATCTATCCCCCCAGATCCCTCAGGTGAGCAGGTAGGGGGAGCTTGCCCCAAATCCATTGGGGTGGTTTTTTGTTTTTAGAGGAGGGGATGTTTGGATCTTGCAGGGCTCCAAAGTTGAGATGCAGATGTCTCTTTGGAGAACTGTGGAAGGTTCCTGTGGCAAACTGTCTGTACTGGCTGGGGCAGTGGTACCAGTTGGGGGGGACATTGGTGTTGGGACTCTGATTGGCATCAGAGTGGGGAGAGCAGCAAAGACCAATCCCGGAGTTGAGGGATCCTGTCAGCCTGGAGGGGTGGGGGAGGCTGGAGATGAGCAGGGTCTGGGCCCATCCAACTGTGAACAGGGCAGTTGCTTTTTGAGCTGGACTTGGGAAGCAGGACCAGGGGTCTCACCCGTTGTTTTTCCCCCAAGCCAGGATTTGTCAATCCCAAACTTTGTCTGGATGGAGCTGGAGGAGGCTGCAAGGAAAAGGAAGATGGCATAAGAGACTGAGGCAGGTGAGGAGGAAGTTACTGCTCCTTTCCCCCTCTCCTCTTCTCCATGTCTCAGCCCAGCATTGCCCTTGGCTGCAGGACAATCCCACTGCCGACACCATCCTGCCAGGGATGAATTGGTGGGATCCCTTCCCCTTCCCTCTAGCACGGAGGCAAATCCCATCCTGTCCTTGTCCACAGCTCCTTCCTCTTCTCTTTCTATCCTTCCTTCCTCATTCCTTCCTCTCCTTTTCTTTTCTTACTGCAGGCACTGAGCTTCAGATGGAGACCAGGGAGAACAAATCCCTGTGGTATTCACATTTCTTTGAATAGAGACATAATTCTTTCTCACAGGATTTTTCCTGGGAAGCTGTGGAAAGGCTGAGAAAGCTCAGAGAGGAAGAAAACAATTCTTATCTCACTTGTTGCTCCTGTTGTTTGGCACATGTGGAATGTGTTATGGAGATTGTTTACCAAGAGTGATTTGTTAATTGGACACTGGTGATGGTTGTTTGGACTGATTGACCAATTAGGTCAAAGCTGGGTCGTGACTGTCTGTAAAGGGTCAGAGGTTTTTCTTTAGTATGTAATTTAGTATAGATTTAGTATAGCAATAGTCTAATGTAGTATAATATAGTATAGAATAAAGCATCTGTTCAGCGTTTGAAATCATGGAGTCAGAGCACATCATTCCTTGGATGGGTGAGACAAAGTAGAAATTTAACAGGATAGAAATACATTTTTGGATTTAGGTGAAATGTGCTGTTCTGAGCCTGTAACTTGTTTATCTGTGCTTAAGACTCCCTGTTCTCGCAAGAGAGAAAAAAAAAACCCAAAAAATCTTGTGCTCGCAGAATGGCCTTGACCAAGAGAAGGAATTCAAACTCCTGAGATAAGCAGAGGTGTCTTTGTCGGGGGCAAAGGCTGAGGATGACCAGAGAGCTCTCTGCGCAAAGCGCAAGGACTGATAAAAACTAATTGCAACTTGCAATGTGAAATCAGTAAAATGAATATGAATGAGACTATATGCATGTGTATAAGCAAGGGGGAATTCTCAGGGATGCGCATGTCCTTTAGGGAGAACAGCGATTTTCACATGCACCTAGCACTGTAATAAACATACTGGCTTAATGACTTTCTACAAAGTTGTGGAGTTTCTCTTTTTTTTCCACTAATCATTTTGGCGAGCCAGCCAGGAGATTGTCTGTCCTCTCAGGGTCGGAAGGGAGGACGGACTCCTGGGTGCACCCTGGAATTTTCCTGGAGGAGCTCTGCTCCATCTCGGCTTGCCTCCTGTGGATACAGACAACGATCTGCTGGTGTGTGGATACACGGTATGTCTGTCAAAGGGCCCGGGGGAGACAGGGCTGCTAAGTCACTCAGAGACGTCTGAGTGCACAGCCTCGTCCCTGTGCTTGCAGGCAGACATCGACCAGGAGCATGGTTGGCGGCAGAGGTTCCCGATTGATAGCGTGACTGGGAACAGGTTCATTGTTCAATAGAGCGGCCGCTAGCGACTCTGGGGTGAGCTGAGTGAACATGAACTTTGTGTGCTTGTGGTGTCTGGACATTGTATGGTTAATGCAGTGTGTGGTTAATGTTAGTGTGTTTGTAATCGTGTGAGTGCGTGGTGTATAAAAGAGACCGAGCGAGCGAGCGAGTGTACCCACAGCATGCAGGGGCAGTTCTACGCGTGTCTGAAGCGTCCAGGTGAGGCCCGGAGCACCGGCTGGGGCAGGCTGTGGGGGCAGGGAACACCCCACGGAGTAGTGGAACAAGTGGAGAAACGTGGGTGAGGACATTTATTCATTTATTGTGTTTAAAGGTGGTGATGTGTGATTTGTGTAGATTGTGCACATTTTAACTGTGGCTAGATGAACTCAGGGGATTCCTCTGCCCCACTAGTTTGGACTTGGTCCCTGGAATTTTACTGTGTGCTGTTATTTTGATTGTGTCCAGAGTGTGTGAGGACCAGAAGAAGCTGATAAGCTGATGTGGGTAGATGCTGAAGTGTTGTATGTTGGGTTGTGTCAAGAAAAGTGGGCACTTCTAAGAGATACCCCTTTCCCAGTGAGTTTGTGTGGTTCTTCCCCCACATTGTGGTAATTTGATTCTTGGTATTGTAGGCTTGTGAAGATTTTAGGATTTTGTTTGCAAAAAGTGTAGCATTTTACGTGGAAAAACTGCAGTATGGTGATTTATATTTAAATGTGGTAAAACAAATTAAAGGAATTCCAGGAATTCCCCTCCCACAGCAACCTAAGCCCTGACTCTCATGAATTTGAGATGTGGGGGGTGTGTGTCTGTGTCTGTGTTTTTGGGCATATCAGAGTTTTGCTGTAACAGGCACAGCTTTTTGCAAGCCAGCCAAGTGAGTGTCAGTAGAAAAAATGCTTGAATTAGATTGTGCGGGAAGAGAACTGGAAAAGAATGAGATTTTGTAAAGCAGAGTTTAGGTGGAAGAGACCAAGACAGGCACTCTATAATTTATGTTATTCTAAGGCAACCAAGGCTACTCAGAGAGCTCTAAGGAATTTAGTAGCAACCAGTCACGAGAAGCAAAGTAACAGGGTGTTTGAATTATTAGAAAAGAGAGTTTCAAGTAATGTAAGAAACCTAGCAGAAATAATTAAAGCTGAGTGTGCTCAGCCTATTTTATACCCCAAGACTTTGAATTAAGGCAAAGAGATGGGATGGGGTAGAAAGATGGGAACTAAGATGGACATTTTAGTAGACACGGGGGCAGCAAACTCAGTGTTAAATAAAGCCTTGATGCCTATAACAGATGATTATGTTATGGTAAGGGGGCAACTGGCCAATCTGATAAATCATATTTTGCAAACCATCAAAATATTCTTAGTTTTTTGTATTTGCCCAACTCTTCAAAGGCCCTGTTGAGTAGGGACTTGTTGGAGCAGCTGGAAGCAAAGATCACATTTAAAGATGGGGAGATTATTTTAGGGGTAAAGGATCAAGAAGATGTAGATACACTGAGCTTAATTTTAACAATTAGTGAAACTGAAATTGAAAATAAGGATGAAATTAACAAGAAAATAATGGATCCAGTGTTTCCTGGGGTATGGGCCTCTAACATAGCAGGGAGGGCAGAGAATGCACCTTCTGTGCAAGTTAAGGAAAACAACCAGCTAGGGTCAGGCAGTACACCTTGTGGCAAACCCATACACCCTACTAACATGTTTGGCACCTGAGCTAACCTAGTTTGCTGTTTTAGATCTGAAAGATGCCTTCTTTAGCCTCCCTATCCATTAAGCCAACCAGAAAATTTTTGCATTCAAATGAGAAAACCCTAAAAGCAGGCACAAAACCCAGCTCACATAGATTGTGTTGCCTCAAGGCCTTCAAGGCTTCAAAATTCCCTTACTCTGTTTGGAGAACAACTTACAAAACACCTAGAGTCCTGGGAAGCTCCACAAGAGGAAGGAAGGCTATTGCAGTACGTGGATGATCTCCTGATAGCCACTCAGACGAGGGAAGCATGTGTGGCCTGGACAGTGAGCCTTTTGAATTTCCTGGGGCTCCAAGGGTACAGAGTATCAAAAAAAAAGGCACAGGTAGTGAAACAGAAAGTAATCTACCTGAGGTATGAGGTCAATGCTGGGCAAAGGACTCTGTAGTCACTAACCTTGTGAACCCAGCTTCTTTTCTCAGTGGGATCAAGGAGAAGCAGTACACCACGATTGATTGCCTGGAGACCATTGAAGCTACTTACTCCAGATGCCCAGACTTGAAGGACACTCCTTTGGATGGTGCAGAGACCTGGTTCACTGATGGGAGTAGCCACGTTGCCAGTGGAAAGCGACACGCTGGATATGCAGTCACTACCTGCAGAGAGGTAATAGAATCTGGACCCTTGCCAACAGGCACCTCTGCACAGAAGGCCAAAATAATTGCACTGATTCTCTTTCCTTCTGCCTTAGAAATGGCAAAAGGAAAGAAAATAAATGTCTGTATAGACTCGAGGTATGCATTTGGAGTCATGCATGCACATGGAGCCATCTGGGGAGAGAGGGGACTGCTGACCTCACAAGGAAAGAACATCAAACATGCACAAGAGATAATCCAGCTGCTGGAAGCAGTTCAGCTGCCTGAAAAGGTAGCAATTATGCATATTAAGACACAGCAGAGAGTGAGCTCAGAATTGGAAGAAGGAAATGAGCTGGCAGATAGAGAGGCAAAGGAAGCAGTGGAAGGTGAGGTAACTATTAAAGGAGCTCTAATTCCAGGTGGACAAATTTCCCTTGAAGGTAAGCTAGAATACAATAAGAAAGATAGAAAACTAATCAAAGATCAAAAAGGGACATACAACCAAGAAGGGTGGGCTACCATTGAAGGGAGGCTGGTAATCCCTTCCCATTTGTTGTAGTCACTAGTAAGGGAGGAGCACCAGAAAACACACTGGGATGCCCTAAACACCTATTTGACTGAGAGAATCGTTGCCAGGAATTTATATGCCACCATTTCTCAAGTGACAGTGTGATCTTTGCCTCCAGACTAACCCCAAAAATACCCCCAGACCAAAACTTGATCAGACTGGGAGGGGCCATGGGCCTGGACAGCAGTGGCAAATTGACTTTTCAGAACTCCCAAGGAAAGGGGGGTACTGGTATTTATTGGTATTGACAGATACATTTCCAGGATGGCCAGAAGGGTTCCCCACCAGAACTGTCAAGGCTTGAGAGGTGACCAGGGTATTATTACAAGAAATAATACCACACTTCAGAGTTCCAGCCACAATATCCTTGGATAGAGGATCACATTTCATTTCCAGAATAGTGCAACAGATGAGTAGCCACCTGGGCATAGATTGGGAACTTCACACTCCATACTGCCCCAATTGAGCAGCCAAGAAAATGAATCATCTGATAAAGCAGCAAATTGTAAGACTGGGACAGGAAGTTAGTCTGCCCTGGCCCCAAGCTCTTCCACTGGCACTGTTGCGAATTCAAACTAAACCTAGAGCTAAAGAAAGGCTGAGTCCCTTTGAAATACTTTATGGAACACAAAAGGAAATGTCTACCCACATTGGGGAGGTAGCATTGGCCACCTACATGGTGGCTTTAACTAAACAGCTCAGAGTAAATGAAAAACGTGTGGCTGGAACTCGGAGCAGGGAGCTAGATGGACCAGTACACAACATACAGCCTGGGGATTATGTATACGTTAAGTCTCTTACAGAAAAGACTTTGAAACCACAGTGGGAAGGACCATTCCAGGTGCTTCTCACCATCTTCACTGCAATCAAGATTAAGAAGCAGAATGCCCGGATCCACCACACTCGAATGAAGCAGGCCCCAGGAGCCCCTTGGAAATTGACACCCAGAGACAATGAACTGAGACTGAAATTTACTTGGGCAAAATGAGTGTATTGCACTGGGGGGGGCGTAGTTTGTAATTTTATTTATAGAATAGTTTTGTATATAATTGTAATTGAAGTCTTGGAGTATCTCTGTCCAAGACAATGCTGAATGACCTTGGTCCCAGGTTTTAATCAGTATACTGGATCTATGAGAAATCTGGCCACTGCAGCAGGTGGCCTAGCAAAATTGAAGCAGCCTTTACAGTCATCTCTATTGGCATTAGGAAATAGCCAGTGGCAGATTTCAAAAGTACTGCCAAAGTGGGAAAAGGCCGGGGACCAAGACCACAAGCTAATAGTAGAAGTGCTTAGTATGGTTCAAGATAATGTGTCTTTAGTTTTCAGCTGTATACAAGCACGGTTATGGATGCAGGCAACAGCAGCTCTGCTCATATGGGAAGGGGGTGAAGGTGATTTTCCAGCTGAAATTCAGAAGATTGTCTGGGATAATGTGATTGATTTTGAAAGGAAGTTTCAGTCCTGGTGGACTATGGTAAATTTCACCTATGATCCTGCTTCTAATGTGGCCACTGCCTTTGTGCTTACCATACATAATGCCACTGTTTACGTTATCCACCCCATCATCGCACTAGGATTAAATAATGGAAAATCGTTCTCTACCCTTCAGAACATAGGGTGTGGGCATGAAAGGTGAATGAAAGGTGGCAAACAGTAAACTTAGAATCTTGTATTACTAGGGAACAACTAGGAAGCAATACTATTAATGCTCAAGATGTGTGTCTTGACACTGAACCAAGTATTTGCCAC